GTTTCTTATTTAGCTTCCATCCATTATCTTTACCCTCTTCTTCCTTTGTGGATTGTGGGGGTCAATGGTGGAAGAAGTCTTCATCCTCAACAAAACACCTCTTGTGTTCCATCTGCTGTGAGAGGAAACATGCCTTCCACCTTGTTTAGCCTGAACTGCACTTTGTTTGACTTTATATTTATTTGACAGCTGATTGTCAACCAGATTGACGCTCTCTTTCCCTCTTTAGTGAGCCACGTAGGCTTCATCCAATCTATAGTGCTGGATAGAAACAAGCATGAAGCTGCTTGAAAGCAAACAAGAGGAACCAAACCATAGCCTGCCTTCAAAGAAGCTACAGCTTTGGACATAATGTTTCAACACAACTATTGGAGTGTAGCTTTGTACATAGAGAGAAGATGCACCATACAGTGCTCTCCAGGACAATACAGTCTGCTCCACAGCATCTTGGCATTCTGCACTAGTTTTACACTTATACTCAATATAAACACCTGTCTACTTCCCAGGTGAGTAGACAGCTTAAGGGCATCGCACTTGAAGTTTTTGTCAAAGTCCATTATAAGACTAACAGGACTGTGCTGTACACAATAACCACATGTGGACGTTGTATCAAAATTTGAGCTGGTTTCTGCTACTCTGACCCTATTTGTTTGCATTTTTATACAGATCCAGGATGGAGGCACACTTTTCCAATGTCATTCTAAAACATGTAAACCCAACCTTGGTCACTGTGATGACATGACATCTCACCCAAAACTCTTTAGACTCTTTCACAAAATACTTTCAAACTACTGCGATTCCTTCTTCCAGTCATCGTGTGATTTCAGGTCTGAGCTGCTGAGGAGAGTTGAAGTCACTATTGTACTGCCAAAACGGTCAGTATGTGGAAAGGTAAACCAGCACTGCGGCATAAAGTGGTGATGCAGATTTTGCAGGCAGACTGTCAGGATAATTTTGGTAACGCCAGCTGGCAGATGGATTGTGGGTAGAAGATATTCGACACATATTTTATGCAGTGTTTCATGTCAGTGACCCTGAGCGCTTCACATTGTTGAGACACGACAGATCGACTGGAGATTTATGAATGAATAAGATTTATGAATGCAACTTAAACAGGGTCTCATCTTTGCAGTCACATCACAGTTTATGAAGAGACTTTGTTATAGCTAGTATTTCCTGTAATTACATTCTTAGACTGTAATGATTTTTGCTCAACGAGCTTACGTACTTTGCAGACTTCACGCACTTATGATTGATATTCCAGACAAACAATCATCTTGTGGTTTCTTAAGTGTTAAAACAAACTAGTTGTGTTCCCCAGTGAGGTGCAGTAGAAAACCAGGTTTTGTACCATATTTAACTTTGAGCAGCATTATGACATATTTTTTTGTAATAATTATTCTATATAACTGACACTTTTAAACAATAACATTTCCAGTTTTTGCAGAGCCTGATATCATCTTATAAGGGACAAAATTGTTCATTTCTCTTTTATAAGCCGACTGTCACATGGACCTTGAAGTGGAGCATTTGAACTTAGAATAGTTTGTTTTCTCAGATTATATTATTAAATCAACAACTAATTACGGTAATTAATTCCTTATTCTTTCCAATTAGCAGCACAGTGTTTATTTTCATTTTGTTTGGCATGTAAAATGCTGTAACTTCTTTAACATCTAAAATGTTAAAAAATCTGAAAATGGTAGCTACTCAGCCCACGTTCTGTTTTGACTTTTATGTATTCAGTAAAGACAAACTGAGGTTTTGTAAGCTGCCCGACTGCAGGATTTGGAAGCCGCATTACAAATGTATGAATCACAACCCAACAATTTTCTGTAGCTGCATTTAAACACACACACACTGAAGCGGCTAAATTGCTTGATTCTGACCTTCCTTTCCACCCCACAGCTGCTGCCAAATTTGAGTCCATCGCTTCATCGTTGTGCCACACTGACACGCGGAGAGCTGGCAGCCAATCAGAACTGATTATTTCTCAGCCTGTTGCATCTGTGTGTGAGTACCATCCAACAGGGAACATTTCACAAACGCAGCAGTAAATAATCACAAAGGGGCAAGCTTTGCCCAACAATCAAAATCTTGACCGTGGGATACTTTGAGCTCATCACTGGTTTATCACAGTCAAACACATTTACTGGTACATCCCCACAGAGGGCATTTCTATCTGCTGCTTCTGCTCTGCCAGTTCTGATCCTTAAACACAGCTCCAAGCCCAACTTTGAAGACTCAAACTAATTCTCATTTCCTGATCTGAACCTTGACAGAAACATGCTTGATTTTTAACCCTGTGGGTGATCCCTGGGAAGAGGGAAAGACCAAAGACAAGACTGAGGACTGGACACCAGCAGGCTGCAAGGATGAACCCAAAGACCTCTGTGAGGACACTCACAAAGGAACAGGCTGAATGGACATAACATATTGTCAAAAACGGTTTGCTTTTCTCAGATTAAAGGAGAATCGAATATAAACAGACAAAGCCTGCACAAAAACAACGAGGAAGAGAAGAAAGGTTGGAATCAGTTTTGAGCATTTGACAAAACTGGGATAAACCTAATAAAAAAAGAATAAACAAGACACCAGCAAACATGCAGATAGCACTACAGAATCCCATGCATTGCATGGCTCTGTAAAAATGTATATTATACTTATTATTATTACTTAGTATATTCTTGGTTTGGCGTATTTCTTGATTCATATCTTGGATCTTGTTTCCGTTTTTCTTTACAATTTGTATTTTTGTTGGATGTAACTCGGACCCTGTATACATAGTTTCATTCCACCTCATGTACCATATATGATGTGAATGATAGGGATGCACAATATTGGATTATTGGCCGATATCCGATATGTTAAAACTTATTCAGTCGATAACCGATGCCGATACCGATATTTTATATAATTTCCTATGTCAGAACAGAGCCCTCTTATTTAGGCTTATTTGCTACAAAAAATGTGCAACAGCTGTAAGAGCTGGTGACATATATTCAGTAACAGCCATATGATATGCATAGCACTTTAACTTATATTAAATGAAAAGCATTAAATGTTATTTATTAGCATTAGTCTCCTGCGATGCTGTCTTACTTGTGGAGGCTTGTTCCAGGTTCCTAGCTGCAGTGTGGGATCCTCTGCACTCCTGTGCATGAAGGACAGCCTTTTTAAGTTCAAAGCTTTTTGTCTATCCATTGTTCCGTAAGACTAATCATGCTAACGGGGCTAACACGACGTCCAAACGTCTGTGGTAAAACTCACCCAACAAGTCGTGCTATCGGCTATTAACTTCTCAATGACGTCAGAAATGACGGCTTGTAACTCTGGTAACGCTATGTCGGAAAAAATATCTCTGACTGCGGACGATGTAGCGAGGCTCAACGTAGTACATAAATCTTTAGAATCTGGCCTCCTCACCAACGACAAACAAAACTTCCACACCACTGACATTTTGAATTCCCCCAACTCCTCCGTAAGATCAAGTAGTCGTGTGTGACGTCATCACGTTGTGCTGCCGCTGCAGGCGAATACAGCGCCTTTTATATCGGCAAGTTATTTTAATGGGATGTCCGATATTGAAATTTAACGCCAATATCAGCCGATACCATGCCGATAATATCGTGCATCCCTAGTAGTAAATGACTCGACCTTGATGCGCTTTGGTGGAGGTTCCCATGCTAAAATTATTTTAGCGACAAAACATATCCAGCAACAAAGATAAGAATTGCTGCAATGAAGAATAAAGGAAAGACGTTAAAAGAAATACTTTGTACACAACAAATCAATATACTGCATTGTACATACAAAGCAGACCCATCTAAACTGTGTTATCACAACTTATACAGTTTACAGACGAGAACACAAAGCAGATGAACACAGCACAACTCAAACTTGAGTATATAAAACAAGGCTGCATCCAAAATAATAAAATTATCACTGGATTGTGTCATTCTCACCAATAATATTTACATGCTGCTGTTTACACAGCTAGAGCTAGATTCTGAAGAGACAGTCAATTTAAAATACAAAAGCCTCCCCCAAAAAACCTACAATATAATCCATAAAGTTGCAGTGAGGAAAATCTGAATTCTTATTGAAAATTATTTGTATTCAATCATGTTTACTCTCGATTTTATATAATTAAAAATACATCATTTGTCTGTGACACATCATGAAATTGATGACCGACTCTCAAACTGATAGCAAACACTGCAGCACCCTGAAAAAAGTGATTGTTGGTCATAAATCTGCGCAAAAACTCTTTAAATCACGTAAACCATAACATGCACAAATCACTTTACTCCCACATCATGAGAAGTTCATGTTAGCCGATGAACAGTTAAATAAAACAGTCCCGCTACATTATGAGCCGCTAATTCGATAACACACAATAAAGAGAAAATACTATTCGCATGTTAAAAGCAGAAGCTTCAAAATATGCCCACGATACAGTTATTTCAAGTGAAAAACGATTTATGAATAAACAGGCGACGTGTTATGACTGGAGTTTATTGACAACGCGCCTCAGCCTGTAAATAGCAGCGCGCTAGTTAGCTCAGCTAGCTGGGGTTAGCATGCTGAAGCTAACATTAGCATCTCAGTGACAGAGGGCGGACAGATGGTAACGTTGCACGGAACAAAACACCCGGGATAACAACCGTTATATCGTTACTACCACCCCGAGCTCAGATATACCACTGAGTCAGCTCACTGTCTTCTCAGTCCGCAAAAGAAACTGAGCTAAGCCGGCTAGTATTATATGGGCTAACCATTCTTTTACGCCGCAGGACCGTGTAAAGCGGCGCCGTGAATCGGGCAAAGCTGCGGAGAACACAGGCGAGCGAGGCGGGCTGCGCTCCGCATTTTCTTTACCGCTCTAAGCCGCACTACCTCACAAGATTATCACATCTTAAACCAAAATTTTCGCGAGCGCAACCGAAAATCCCGAAAGTTTACAACCGAAAGGATTAGCTCGATAGTGCGCTTCTTACCTGGTAACAATGAATTGTAATAAATCGCGTCCTCCTCTGCAGCTCTCTTCCCCCTCCTAGCTCCAAAATGGCGCCAACATGCATAGATTCAGTGCCCATGGGTACAAATCATGGGTGAACGAGTAGCGCCACCTATAGGCGAGTTCACGTACGGCTGGTGAACCATTGAAGTCATGAACGGTAATTAATTTTTTTTCATTACGTTTTATATTTTAATACATTTTAAAAACTAAGCACCTTTTTCTCATAAGATTCGCTGTATAAATATGCATTAAACTTTCTTGTATGTATGTATTAATTAATATTTAAAACGGATTAATCTCTTTTTTTTTTCTGTTCAGTGTTGCAAACAAGCATGGAAAGTTCAATATTCCGACAGTACCTAAACATACCAGAAACAGACGACATTACCACATAAACATGATATTCTCATTAGGGCAGTAATATTAACCTTTTTAATATATTATTAACTGTAAACCGTATTCATAATTCATGTAGTAACATTTCAATAGACCTTTTCACATTTTTAGATGAGCTCTTTACTGTTTAAATCTAGTTAGTACATCATCTTTTTACATTTTTTTGTGATGAAGCATTTATTCCACCACTTTCTCTGCCTATACAGTCCTTTCTATTCCATACACCCTTCTGCTTATAGAAAACTGCTTTCTGTTGTGTTGATTTTACAATAAACTTCTAAACATCATCTTTCCAATAAGCTGTTGTAGGGCATTAAATGAAAGGATATGCTGTTTTGTCTGTCTCTGCAGTTTAGCCAACATGAGCTAAAGGGGGCGCCCTAAAACAACATTTAGACAAACTCCTCTGACACAATAGGCTTTGCAGTTAAATTGGCTGAACAAGTGTTTTTTTGTTTGTTAGTTTATTTTTAAGCAAGTAAAAACAAGTATAGAAAATCAATTAACAGAGTTGAGCAATGTGGATTTTTTTAAACTGGAGCATATGCTTTATTGATTTTTGCAAAACTGAGCAGTTAAGAGATGAATGTTGAATTTGCTGAAGAAGCAAAAACTGACTTGTTAAAGCTAAAAGAGGCAAAAAAAAATTTAAAGATGCGGAACATGTGCTTAAAGCGTCAAAAAACAAAATACTAACTAAAAGCTAAACAAAGCTAAAGCAAAATACTAGCTAAAGGTAGCAAGACACTTGAGATAAAAGTAAAAAAGACCAACTTAGAACTAAAAGTAACAAAATGATAGTTAAAAACTCAGGCCAGCTAAATTTGTAGTTAAAAGCCGCAAAAGGTTAGCTAAAAGGTAAAAGTAGCAAAAAGCTAACTAAAAGTAGCAAAAGGCTACCCAAAAGCTAATGTAGCAAAAGGATGGCTGCAAGCTAAAAATAACAAAATGGTAGCTAGAAGCTAAAAGTAGCAAAAGACAGAAAACAGGAAATTGTTAGCTAAAGCTAAATTTACAAATAAGAAGCTAAAGGTTAAAGCATTAAAAAAAACTTACCATAACTGGTTAAAATTAAATGAATGGAAGCTAAAAATGATTTAAAGCCATTTGAAAGTACAAAAGTAACTAAAAGCAAAAGTAGCAAAACAGTAGGTAAAAGTGCCAAAAAGCTAGAAAAAAGTAGCATGGCGAAAGTAAAAAGTAGCAAAAGCCTAGAAGCAGAATAGTGAAAGTAGCCAAAAGCAGATTGCAAAGAGAACAAAGTTCCTGAATGAATTTAAGAGATCTTAATCTATTCTATGTAGGAATAAAGGTAAATATTTTTAAAAGTATAAAATTGACACAAAAAAATAAAAATCACAGCATCCTGAATGACCTGAACGTTTTAAATGACTAAAATAACACGGTGTTACAGAATTGGAAATTATAAATTGGAAAAACAAGAAAACAGTGTAAAGGTGAATCAGCATTCACTATATTAAAATATCACTTGGATTATATATTTATTCTTTTCAGTTGCATCAAATGGTCTGAAAATAGAAATAACAGAAGTCTTCTCAGGGCACTGAACAGAAACATAAAAAAACAAGTTAACACTATTTATCTGCTTTGAATTTAACTTGAACTTAAAATATACCCTATAAATAAAATGTTCCTTGTTTGTTGTGCAGTATGGGGTCATATTTGGAATAAAATAAATAAATAAAAAGCCGTCCGGGTGTATTTTCTGTGAGTTCAATCAGAGCCTGCACAGCCAGGTCTCAATGAACCAATTAGTGTCGCGTGGATAAATCCCACGAGGAAGAAAGCGCACTGGTTTCTCAGCTCCAGGATGGAGGGGTTCCTGTCCACGTTTCCTCCCTACAGCGTCTATGGGAACCCGGTGTGCGCCCCCCCGGCTCAGGGCGGCAGCTGGGGGAAGAGAGAGGGCCGCTTCATGACCCCCCAGGGCCTCAACTACCTGGAGCTCTGCAAGACCATCCTGTCCCAGGTGAACCCCGGCGCGCCCCCTCTTCCTCCTCTTCCTCTGAAGGCGAACACCAAGGAGTGCGGCGTGCAGGTGAACGCCAGGGTGGAGAAGATGGTGCAGTGCTCGCTGGGACCCAAGACCCTGCTCGGTTGTGACGAGCGCCCCCCATCCTCTTCCCCCAAGACCCCCTGGAGCCCGGAGGGGAAGGCGCAGCTCGAGCTGCGCTTCCTGCGGCCCGTGTCCATCTACTCCCCGGTGTCCGACAGGAGGGCTTGTTGTCTGAAAAGCCTCAGCGACGACGGCTGCGAGAAGAGAGAGGCCGAAGCCTCCGAGCCGGAGTCGAACCACAGCGGAGACAAGTTGGAGAAGGACGTGAAGACTGCCGCGGTGCCACGCGCCTCCAAGAGCTCCAACTTTCAGGTGGGCCAGCCTGTGCGTCACGTGACTCTAAAAGGCAAGGGCTTCAGATGATCACATGAATGAAGTTGTCAGGCATTTCAGCTGATTTTCTGCAAGGCTCCTTCCTTCTTCTTAAGTTTGTTTTTAATTACAAATGTTTTCAATACAGTCAATTCTACAGATATTGCCACAAAATGTGTTGTCATTGCTGAGACTGAGGCTATATTCACATTAACAGATTGTTCATGGCTTGTTTTAAAATTTGCCGCTAGCTGTTTTTTGAAGTCAATGATTTGGCAAACACCAGTCTGGACACAATCATTGGATATGTCAATAAGGGGGAGTGGTGGCACAGAGGTTAGAAGATGGGCCTGTGATCGGAAAGTCAGCAGTTCAACTCCGGGTACTGTCAACATCAAAAAATGTGGGTGGAAAAGGTGGAACACCCACACCTCCCTCCACCCTCACTCGCTCACTCGTAGAGTATTGTGGGGTTGGTCAGAACTTTGTAGGTTTGTTCAAGCAGAAAAGCAGGTGAACTACACTGCTCTCATTGTTCTTCAGCTGCTCTGCTGAGGATCATCTGGCCAAGGCTGTTGGACAACACGGCCATCTTTACAGCTGTTCCAGCAGAACATACAAGACTTGTGGACGAAGAGCGCTATATTTCTGCACGCGAGTTTGTGCGGAGACAAAAGCGTCTCTTTCTGTCTTTGCTGGCAAGGAGGGAGTGCACTCTAGCAGGGCAGGGACACATTCCCTACATTTGCTTTGTGCACCATCTGTTGGAAACTGTGGCAGTCTGCTTGAGACAAATTTACAAATAAGACCGTTGCAATCAGTCTTTAAAAATCTGTGGTAAGGGAAGCAAATATCTGTAGAGATGGAGCGGAGAACCTGGGGAAGAGCTTCCCACAAGTTCAGAACTGAATTTTGTTGAGAATAAATTGTCCATGCTGAGAAGAATGTCTTGGCTACATCAGTGAGAGGCGACTTCACTTCTTGTGGAGTATGGAGAACTCTTTACTCTCCTTACCATTCAAGATATTTACACATCTGGTCAGTGAAATTAAAGTATACTTGTACAATGGCTGTCGTTTTTTTTTTTTTTCTTCTCTCCCACAAACGGTATGTGCAGGCATGGATTGGTGGATTTGCAGGGGGAGTGGTGGCACAGAGGTTAGAAAATGGGCCTGTGATCGAAAAGTCGCAAGTTCAACTCCCTGTACCGTCAACATCAAAAAGTGTGTGGAAAAGGTGGAACACCCACACCTGCCTCCACCCTCATTCGCCCCACTCTGGGCCCCTGAGCAAGGCCCTTAACCCCCACCATCTGCTCCCTAAACAGGTCTCTCTTGAAAGAGTTCTTGTGGCTCAATGAGACTACCTGCATAAAGGGTAAATAAAAAAAAAAAAATTTGATGTTAACACTAGAAATGTGATGATGATGATGATGATGATGATGATGGTTGCAAAGTTGACTTGAGTAGCTGAACTTGTCGGTCCTAATTAGTGTTAAAATATCCAAATGTCCCTGACCTTTGTCATTAATAACTTTGATTCACACATTTGTCATGATCATCTTAATAACTTAGGTGACATAAATAAGTGTAGTGTTACTGATGTGTAGAACATTAAACGTCCAACAAATCACAAAACCCTGATCAGATTCCCACTTTGTCCTTCAGTGAATATTATCACCATATTGCAATATTATCAGAATATCACTTAAAAAGAAAAGTCACTGTAATGCCACTTGATTATGTGCTGCTGATCTCATGCTGCTGATTTATTTCATTCATATTCATTCATCTGCTCACATACTCATGTTCATGCTGTTGTTTGGTGTATTTTTGTACTATTAGTGTATTCTTGGTTTAGCATATTTCTTAGTTCATACCTTTTTAGATATTACTATTTGTCTCTTACAATTTATACTTTTGTTGGATGTAACTGGGACCCTGTGTACACCGTTTCATTCCATCACATGTACCACATGAGTGACGTAAAGAAACCTTGACTTGACCTTGAATACAAAATTGATATTTTTGTTTTTAGTTCCTGGAGCAGAGGTATGGCTTTTTCCACTGTAAGAAGTGCAACATCCGGTGGGAGAGTGCTTATGTTTGGTGCATCTCTGGAACCAGTAAGGCAAGTGGACCGTACAAACCACAGTAATGTGTAGCAATCTGTCCCTGCTCGGATTAACTTGGAGTGATTTTTATCAGGTGTACTACAAGCAGCTCTGCCGGAAGTGTCAGGTGGGGTTTAACCCCTACAGAGTGGAGTCTATCCTCTGCAAGGTAAATCAGCTTACCTTTAAAAAAACCTGTTCAGTCTGTTTTGGAACGTCCTCATGCCTTTATATATATTTGCGTTTGCAGGGCTGCTCTCAGACTTGCTGCATCTGCGAGAAAAAGCAGAGGCACATCAACATGAAGAGGCCTCACCGCCAGGACCTGTGCTGCCGCTGCAAAGGGATGCGGCTGTCCTGCGACGCCACCTACAGCTTCAAATACATCATCTGAGCTGCGGGCGGAGTTCGTTCTGTCGTAGGCGACTCTCGCATCCACAAAACGAAGCTGCCTCCTGTACGTTTCACTCATTCTCCAAACCGGCAAGAAGCTTTAAAAACATGTTTATTCTCCATGAACTCTGCTGCTCACTAATGCAAATATATTTATGTAAAGACAAATAAAGTTGTATAATGAACTGCAGTTTGGGTTGAAATTTTCTGAAAACGTGAACTTTGATTTGTGGTTTTATTCTTGCAGCATGAGTTTAGGAAACAAAAATGCAGGTTCTGTTTTTAAACATTTGACTAAAACCAACCAATAAAGGGACACGATGCTGTAGAAATCAAATGTGGTTAATTGGTGAAAGTCTGTTGTGGTTCAGTTAAAATCACGAATAAAATCAGAACTTTCATAGATTTACATGGAATTTGAATGAAAAGCTGGTAACTCATGGCTTCAGGCACCTTTTTCTTGTCGTTGGGGTTGTAATCAGCCTGCTTAAAGAAAAAAAATCTACTTTAACTCAAATATATTCTGGGCCTTTAAAAAATTTCAATTCAACCATTATTTAAACATATGAGTCGCATTAAGCCTCAGACTCGTACAAGTGAAACCTGTATCGAGGACGACGGCCGAATCCAGAGAATCCTGAAATGACGATATTAAATATCTTATCTGAACCAATACTTGTGGCAAAATGTCTGCTGAAAAATGAGTAATTTTTAAGCATCTTTAAACCACAGACCTAATTTCAGCCTGAACTTTAAAAATATGTTTTCATTTGGTTTAAAGATCTGCCAGAGTCGCGTATTATGTGACCCAAGGTGAGTGTAGTTTATGAAATCACATTTTAAAAGGCTTCAATCATATGACAAATCTGATTCAATCTAAAAACTCATCTGTCAAAAGACGAAGACGGACGTTCTTTTTGTCCACGTCATGTACCTTTGGTATGAAGCACTGGATGAATATTAATGAAAGCTTTGCAGAATCACTGGATGTAAATCTACAACTAACCTTTGGAGTTGACCCGATTCAAGAAGGTCAACACAACTAATCCAAACTAGCCAACACAAAAAAGGCTATAAATCAGAATTTTATATTGAGCTAAAATGTGGTGTGGTCGTAGCTGCGAGGCATTCACAGCATGTGTGCAGTGCGACAATTCATGACACTGCAGTTTATTTTCAAGGTTGACCCAAGATGGCTAAAACTTTTTTTTTTTTATCTTTGTCTATAAGTCGTCCAACTGGGTGATATGCTTTCCGTTAAGAAATGTTAGGGCTTTAATAGTGTGAATGTTTATGAAGCATTCACACTATTGTGATCCATTTTTCTTTACGTTTTTCAGTGTGATTCTCGTCCTGCAGTTTTTGTGCTATTTCAACAATTCATATATGAAACCGTTCATATCGTTCAGGAGAAGGGTGTTATGACTTTTGGTATTGATGCAACTTTAGCTTTTTGAAATTTAGCCTTTTCTGCTATTTTTTCTCATAGAAAATGAATTGAGCTCATTTTACATCCTTCAAATCTTTAGATCTGTTTACAACATTTTACTGCTCCTTTCACATTTTGTTCTGGTTCAGCTTCTTTCAGCTTTTTTGTGCAAATTTAAACTTTTCTGCTAATTTCAGCTTGTTGTGCTCCTTTCAGCTTATTTCCACAAGTTTCATCTTTTTCTACTATTTCAACTACTTTCAGCTGTTTTTATGCAATTTTTTTTAGCTTTTTCAGCTAATTCCACATTTTTTTGCACTCATTTAAACTTTTTTCAGCCTAATTTAACAAATGTGTTCTCTCCTACTTGTAATTTAAACTTTTTTCTGCCTTTTTAGCTGCTTTTCAGATGTTTTTTTTGTTGTTGTTGCTAATTTCAGTTTTTTTTTTTCTTCAGATAATTTTCATGTTTTTGTGTTCATTTATTCTTTAAGCCTAATTGGGAAAACATGTTCTTTCTGATTTATTCTGCTAATTTAAGCTGAAAATCTATATTTTTAGCTAACTTTGAGCTTTTTTTGTGCTAATTTCAGCTGTTTTCAGATAAATTAGTGTTTCGTGGTAATTTTTACTTTCAACTGAATTAATTTCTCTGATAATTTCAGCTTGTTTTGCTCCTTTCAGCTATTTTCTGCTAGTCAGTTTTTTCTGCTATGTCAGCTACTATGTAGCTGTTTATGCTATTTTAGTATTTTCAGCTAATTCCATATTTTTTAGCTCATTTTAAGCTCTTTCCGGAAATTTATTTTCAGCTTTTTTTTTTGTTGCCAATTTCAGCTTTTTTTTTTTTTTTTGCTAATTTTTGTTAATTTCTGCCAATTTAAACTTAATTCAGCAAAAAATGTGTTCTTTGTTTTCTTCTGCTAATTTAGGCCTGTTTTTTCGTTTCAGCTATAATTCAGCACATATATATTTTTTAGCTAATTTCAGCTGTTTTTCAGCAAGTTCTTCAGCAAAAAGCATTCGCATTGCATTTTCGCTGGAAATACAATTTCTCTAGTTAGTACTTCTGCGGCTGAGTGGTTAGAGCAGTCGTCCTCCAATGCAAGAGTTGGGGGTTCGAATCCACCAGCAGTCACATGTCAAAGTGTCCCTGGGCAAGACACTGAACCCCTCATAGCCTCCAATGTGTCCCATCGGTGTTTGAATGTGATAAAGCTCTTGATTAGTCTCTTTAGAATGATTTGTTCAATTAGCTTTGTATAGATCTAGTAGAGTGCTGTATGAATGGGTAAATGAGGCACAGATTGTAGTGGAAAGCGCTTTGAGTATCTTGAAATAAGATAGAAAGGCGCTATATAAGTACAGTCCATTTACCATTTACTGGAAGCACCACATTTACTTTGACAACTAGTTAAACTTCAGTGTTTTACATTAATTGTAAAACAATGCGATAATTTGACTCCTGTCGTCTGGAAAAAAAATATAAACTGCTGCATCAGCTGGACAACAAGCAAAAAGCTCCGTCTCTGCAGTCGGCGAGTTGTCTTCACTGAGAGCAGAGTCCAGGACTTAAACCCCCTCCACAAATACATTTATAAGTTGTATACTTGATCATCAGGTGCTGACGCTTTATGCCGTTTTCTTTTTGTGAAACCTTTACTTCATAATTCTTCCATAATGTAGTGCAAATATAAAATCAGTACTTCCAGTGTTACAACCTGATTAAAAATGGTTAAAAAAAAAGCCAGATTAGTTCTGATATGTCTTTACTTTGACACCAATTTGTACAGAGCTCCAACTCAAAAACAATTTCACAAAAGCTGTAAAAGTATTTACACAGTGGAAAAAAACAAAACTACAGTCTTCTAAAAAGCTTGAAAAATGTGCAATTTCTTGTAAGGCATGCAGACACACATTCTCCCACACATGACCAAAAAACCACACGTGAGCATGACGCTCCCTTTTGCACCTCATTTAAAACCTGTCGCTCAGAAAAAAAGTGTTTTTTAGCTCCAACACCTCATCCAGTCCACTGAGGATGCATGCATGGCAGTTCGATTCAAGGACAAACATTGATATAAAAGTCAGTGTGGATGAATATGTGATCAGATATAAATAGGAATCAGGACATTTGTACAGTAAAAGGAAAATAGTCACAAAAAGGGCCGATGGGAAGCATTTCACTTCATTACAGGCTTTAACATCGACGAGCGCTGAATGTCAGCATTTCCTCTACGTCTAACTACAAAACTACACACAAACATATTTCACTATGGTTGTGTGACTATTATTACCAGTATATTGACGGACAAAGTATTTGAGTGTACATGCACCGTCTTCTCGGCTTGTAACGTGGACATGTAACGGAGTACAACAGAGAGAAATACAGTGTGCACACATACACTAATGGTGCTACAGCTAGCCAGAGAGGAGGGAATGCCACGCACAGATGAAGGCATAAATAGTTCACCAGTGTTCACAACAGTAGTTGGAGCACAAAACGGTTCACTGATGGAGAACACAAACAGAGCAAGAGAAGCACCCGCTCTGTCAGTCCTTCAATCAGATCAAGGTTGGACTCCTGGGGGGTCAAAAGGGCGATCGATGTACAGTAGAAAGCTTTAAGGTACTCATTGCAAAGTGTGAAGTCAAACATAAAAATATCTTGATGCATGCTCAATAATCCAGGTGGAAAAATCTAACCAAGTTAAGTCAGGTCCTCTGGACAGAGCTTTAGGGCCACGCTAAGACAAAATAAAAATAAAAGCCATAAAATTATGAGAATAAAATAGTAGTATGAGAATAAAGTCGTATGAGACTTTTTATTAACAGCTCTTGTTTATTTTTTTCCACGAGTCAGATCCACGACGTGACCTGTCAATCAATCCAGTAGGCGTGTCAGCACATGACCAATCAAAGCTAAATGCTCCGTACCTGCAGAGAGCTGCTGCAGCCCATCAGAGCTGCCACCTTATTGGAAGCTGGTTCAAAGTCCTGATACTGATAATCTGATGGTGATGTGCTGACAGATGAACTGTCTCCTTATTTGTAAAACCAACACCAAAACTTAACAAGATGCTCAACATTCTTCATTTTATCACAGTTACAATGCAGTAAACCTGCTTTATCATGTTGCAGTTTGGATAATATTATGATTCATTTAGCTTCGGATTGGTCATTTGCTGACACGCCTACTGGATTGATTGACACGTCACGTTGTGGATCCGACTCGTGAAAAAAAAAAAACAGAGCTGCAAAAAGACTTGTACAACTTTATTTTTGTAATTTTATGCTTTAAATTTTTTTTCTTAGAGTGGCAATGTAATTTATTTATTTTTTGTTTTTTTCTTAGCGTGGCCCTGAAGCTCCGTCGTAGGTCCTCTGGATGGATGCAAAAACAAAAAAATTAAGTATAAAAAAAATTGCTGAAACGTTTCGTCTTTAATCCAAAAGACTTCTTCAGTCTGAAGAGCTGTAATAAACTCAGTCTTATAAACAGCACCTTCTCATTGTGGATCAACCAGTTAACTGTTCACATGATCAAGGAGGACCATCAGCCTAACGGCCGATCGTTAGCACCCTGATGACTGCTTGCTATTCACAGGGGGCTGAGTGATACTAGCAATAACAACATTGTAAGAGGGAGACAGTTGAACACGGAGGCCTCCGCCCCTGTTTAATGATGGACGGTTTATTTTTCTTCCTTACTTCTTTAGCATGCGAACTGCTAGTTCTGAATGTCAACAACAAACTGGTTGATCCACGATGAGAAGGTGCTGGTTATAATGCAGCTCCTCAGACTGACGAAGTCTTATGAATTAAAATTGAAGCGATTCAACAAATTTTTTTTTGTTTATTTTTTACTTTTTGCATCCGTGCAGAGGACCTGACAACGTTGTTAGCTCAAACATAAAACAGCTCATTCTGAACTATATCTAATGGTGAAGTTTTAAAGTTTACTTCAGGAGTCCAGTGTTTCCCCTACCGTTACCCAAGGCACTTCTGGCACTAACGTAGCACTAAGCTAGCGCTCAACACAGACGTGTCTTCGTCTGTTCTCCTGGCAAAAATCCCCAAATAAATGAGCGCCCTGCCAAGGCAAGTGACCAAAGAGAAACACTGTTTTCCAGATATAATGAATGAAAATCTGAATTGCAGGTGTGCACTCAACGTAAACAAAGCCCTAAACCTACATGAACGCTAAAGTTACATAATTGATCTACATTAGCCTGTAGGTAAACAAATATGGCCAAGAAATTTAATGTTTGACCTAGTTTCAATCACTTCAGCTGTTTTGGTAGGTAAACAAACACCTCTGGTTAGTCACTTTAGCTACTGACAAAAATATTGTGTGGATTTTGATTCTTGCTTTATGAAATATTTTTGTTCCAGTCTTCACGGCTTTGCAGTGAGTACCTTTAGCTGGGACATGCATTGCACAGTTTCCTCCAGAGCAGGTCCTGGAACAGCAGCCGAGAAAAGTTACTCCTTCTCAGGGAAAGTGACAATTTTTTTCTCCTCTTAAGTGACAATCCTCTAAAAGAAGGACCTAACAAAAATAAAAACATCTGATGCCACTTATCGGAAACTTTTCCAGTGATGCTACACAATGTCACAAGTCGTTTCTTCGCTGTCTTTGGTGATGTCATCGAGAGGCTACCACCTTCCACAAGTGCCTCCGGGAAGATAAAAAGTCTTCAGGTCCTCAGGTGCAGATTAGGCGCGGAGTGTCGACCATCATGTTGGAATAAAACATTTTCACAACAAGAAGCTGTAAATCAAAGGTAGAGCTTGGATTAAACCACATCTTGTCATGTTTTGTTTAATTGTCTTTTGTAGTATCCAGTAAGGATTTCTCCAGTTATGAGGAAATTCTTCAGGGAACTTCATCTCTTCCTCAGATCCAGAGATGCGACTGTTTATTAGGATCAGTTCGATTCAAGCATTTGGATTCACAAACATTTAAACGTCTCACGTCTGGACGTCTGACGGTTCAGTATTCAGGAGCCCTCCTGCTTTTAGTAGGGGCAGAGCAGCTTGCCCCACCTTCCCCAGGTAGCGTGACAGGGGCGGAGCCTCCTGGCTGAGGGAGCAGCAGCAGGACCAGGCTGCAGCCTCTTCTGGGCCAGTGGGGCGAGGAGCTGGAGGAGGGGAGAGAGATGAAGATGCAGCTGGCTGCAGAACTGACTGTGCATTTGGGAAATGGGGCAACTGTGAGCCCTGAGGCATAATGGAGGGGTGTGAATGTAAGGTGGGCTCTGAGGCGACGGTGGGCAGCGAGTTACGTGATGATGTGGAGATATGAGAAGAGTGCGCTCTGAAAGGACAATAAAAGCTAGAGTTCTCGTTAAGATGAGCCCTTCGTGGCTGTCTTGTGTGCGGCAGATTAAAATCTAGTTGCCTTGAAGTGTTTGAGCGTCTATGTGATGAAAACGGGTCTGGGGGGTTAGAGACATGGAGCAGAGAGACGTCAGAGTTTACACTGGATGAGAGTGAGAGCAAGGGAAGGTCTGGGTCATTGTCTAAATACGGTTCTGGTTCTGAATGGCGAAGTGAGGTGGTATCTGTTTGGAGGACTGGGGCAGGAGACCCACCAGAGGGGGAAGGGGCCACGTGTGTGGATTCTGTGGCCCCTCTGTAAAAGCAGGCTGAAATGACAGAGAGGGGTGAGGAGGTGTTTTTGGGAGGGTCAGCAGCTGAATGGACGGGGCAGGTCGAGACGGGGGAGGAGGTGGAGGAGGAGGCGGGGGGCTCCTGAGGTCCTGTCAGAGGCTGGTCCCGGAGGCGCTGGAGTCGGGGAGGTAGGTTGTGACGACCCGGTAACCCTGGGCGCGGCGGATCATGTCCCGGATCTCCCCGTTAAGCTCCAGCAGCTTGGAGCAGATCAGGCTCAGGTCCAGTCGGGACCCCACCAGGGCGATGGTGCCCGTCTGACCCAGAGTCTGGTGACGGAAATAGATATTGAGCAGCGTCTGGACCTCGCTCTCTGAGCTGCCACCAAACACCTCGCAGGGCCACTGCCTCCTGTGAAGAACATCAGAGAGAAATGGAGCAGGTCAGTGGGACGAAGAACACATCGAGTCCACGTGTGTTAGATAATTAAATAAATTAAATCATACATACTTCTTAAAACTTCAGTAAACAAAGTTTCACAGTGGCTGTTATTAGATCCCATGTTTTGGTTCAATAATTTCTCACAGGTCAATAATTACAGTGCACGCAGCTCTTGCAGATACAGCAGCACAACCAGTCTGTCTGATGGTTTATTGACTGCTGATGAATTCTGTCACAGAACCAGCAGCCCCACAAACTTTGTGACAGAAAGTGTTAACCCTGCTGAGCCGCTTTGTGGATGGTTAAAATATTCTGTTAACATGCGGCAAAGTTCAAGTTACTCGATTATGTAAACTATTTTACCATTTCCAGAACCCTCATCTGTAACGGTAGCTTGTAGCTGATGATGTCATACCAACTCTGAGTCGTGTGATTATTTTTCCTTATCAAAATTTTAATATCTTAACTGACACAGCAGGAGATTCCTGTTGTGTCCTAGGTGAAGCTCACCTGCACTCCTGGATGTAGCGCACAGCTTTGGCGAACTCGTGGTTCCTAAGGCACTCCAAAATGGCCTGCACAGCCGCCTCGGAGTTGTTGAAGGCAGGCACGACCACGGCTGCCACCTGGGTGGCGTGTGTGTGGGCCAAGTCTTTGTGCTCCAAGTCGCTGGTGACAGCTGCCTCTGCTGCCTGCAGGCTGGTCTTCAGATCAGTGAGCTCTCGAGACATGTTCAGCAGCTGAGAGGTGGAAGGACAACAGATGTAAGTGTTGGCCTTAATAAGACTCATTACTCAAGATTACATCAGGAACTGGCCTGAGGTTGAAGACACTAATTTAAAACAGTTTATACCATATGTTCCACTGTAAACGTCGCTCCGCCCTATAAGTCGCATCAGTTCAAATATGTCTAATAAAGTGGAACAATCCATAAATAAGTCGCTCTGCCATATACGTTGCATCTATTATGCATCACCGCTGACAACCTGGCTCTGGGAGCGCACAGACAGGGAGGAAAAAAGGAGAAGGAACGCTGCTCGTTTCTTCGAAATTTAACAATAAAAGCAGCTAAATAATTATTTGTTTGCTTGAAATTATAGTAAAGGTGTGTCTCAGTTGAACTTTTACTTAATAAATGCACTTCAATGGTCAAATTAGCTGCATTTCGCTGGGACGGTACAGAGAAATGAAGCTGGTTTGACGGTTGCTCCAAGCAGCGAGCAGAACCAAGGTGGCAGGCTGTGGCAAGCCGATTGTGTCATTAATAGCTGGTGAAGATTCTCAGTCATCCAGGACATGGTAAATTCAAAAAAGTTCAAGACAAAAACAATAAAGTATAATAAATAAAGTTTATTTGTTTTTGTCTTGAACTTTTTTGAATTTGTCATCATTAGCCACTTTTACCTATTACATGATACAACGGCATGCCATACTACTCTGGTGCCATCTAGTGGCTAAAAATGGTATTGTTCAAATTTTTTCAGTCAGAATGAATGAAAATGGTCATATCTCAGCCAAAAATTGGTTTATAAATATTGGAAAAAAAATCATCAATACTTTGCTTTGGCCTATAAGTCGCAGGGCATGGAAATTATGTAAAAAAACCCTGACTTATATGGTCAAAAATACAGTAACCATAAACTAGAAGAAACATTTACAGTTATATGCTTTTTATAGAAGCACAAGTTTGACCCAGAGTTTATAAGCCCATAGAACTATCACAACTATTTCAGTAAATTTAGGTTGTTGTGGATAATTTAAGTGCGTGTGAGTTGGTTCACCTCAGGCACAGAGCTGATGGCGTGAACTTGACCGATGAGAGAACAGTACGACTGGAACAGCAGCAGGAGCTGGAAGTGCAGCTTGTAGAGCCTCTGACAAAGCTCCAGTTGCTATAAGGCAGTCATGAGGAAAACCAGGTCAGATGAATCAGAAGGACAAAAATACATTCATTATTCTATAGATTAACACAAGCACACAATGAGCTCGCTGAACGTCTTAAGCAGTCAGTGAAGCAGCTTATTTCAGAGGAATCCAAGGCAGTGAATTAAAGGAAGTTGGAAGAGAACTTACTGCAAGAGACTCCATTTGCTAGACAGAGAGAGTATGTTAGGGCAGCAGAATGAGGTGAGAGAAAGACAACATGTCAATCAAACACATGCAAAGCAATTTAATCAGTCAGGCTACAAAGAATTAGTCCACAGTGCAAAAATACAGAAACATCAAAATTTATTTATAAACCAGTAAAAAAAAATCTTTAGAAAAATTCAGGAAAGTAAAACAGACCAAACATGCAAAGAGGGCAACTGTTTTAGAAAAGCAACAGAAAAACAGATGAAGAGAACGTATTTATTTGTCTTCTTGTAAATTCTAGGTTTGTGTATTACTTCAATAATTAAAAAAAAGCCCACACCTTCTCCTCTGAGTCTCCAGGTTGGCAGGTCACCACACTGTCCCCGGGACACCTGGGGAATGTGTCCCTGCAGTTCCTCAGCCACTGACAGACAAATAATACATTTTTTTTAAAAGAACTGTTTCTCAGTCGCTTATTTACAAAAATAAACAGAAAAATATCTGTAACACGCAGACAGAATTACCGCTACAGCTGCCTCCTCTCTGCTGTTGTATGTGTCCAGGTACTCCTGCAGCTCCAGTGCACTGAACTTCATCTTTTCAAGGAGCCCATAAGACATGATCTAGAAATAAAAACGAGCAAAAGGTCATTAGGAAATGAGTTTGCTCCAAAGGCTGAAACGTACTGTGATCAGCAACAAGGTCTGTCAGCATCACACACCGTGTCAGCATCGATGTAGATTGTAGGACAGTCTGAGCATGTGGTCAGCATCCGTGATGATCTGAGAAACTTTGATCCAATGCCTCTTAGTCCCTCACCAAGGTAGGCGGCAACATCGTTTGTCAAGGTACAGAATTTACCCTGAATGTTCTGAAAACAAAAGATATCAGAGAAATTATTTTACCATGACGGACATAAATCCTACTGCATATGAGACAAAAGTACACAATCAAACCATTTATTACAGTGATTTACCTTAAAGAGCGAGGAGAAGACTTGAAAAGTATAAACAGCACAGGAGCCATCCAAGTCAGTCACCAGCTGGTTGACATGACAACGCCATGCCTCCTCAGCATCGTCACACACTACAGGCTGGAACGCTGCCAAAATGGCGGAGAAAAAGGGAGAAGGGGGAGGAGGGAACCCAAGGTCTTCCAAATCATCTACATCACCACGTAAGCTGGAACAAAGGAAGTTAAAAAAATAAATTACATTTTACATCAAATTTGTTTCAGTAGGTTCCTAAAAAGTGCTGAGCTGATGAATGGTATCCAACAAGACGTATTATCAATACTACTTCTGTGCAATGTAGGTACGATTAAAAATATTTTCTAAAAAAAAAAATCATTTAATTATTCAGAAAAAGAAAGAGTGGAAAATGAGAAATTGCATTTCCTGGAAAAATGCAGTGTGAATGCTTATTGCAGAAGAACTTGCTGAAAAAAAGATGAAATGTAGCTGAAATTCAAGATCAAGCCCAAGTTAAAAGAAAAAGCAGAACACATATTTGCTGAATTAGGTTTAAATAAGCAGAAATGAAATGAGCTAAGAAAAAGTTGGAATTAACTGAAAAAAAACTAAAATTAGCATCAAAAGAGCTAAATAGTATGAAAGAGTAGAAAAAGCTGAAACTAGCAGAAAAAAGCTGAAAGGAGCATAACAAGCTGAACTTGGCATAAAGAAGTTAATTAGGCTGAAAGTTGAAGAAATTAGCAGAAAAAACCTTGAATTTATCTGAAAACAGTTGAAAATAGCAAAAAAAAAAGTTAAAAGGATAGCTGAAAAGTTAGATCAAACTTAAATTAGCAGAAGAAAGCAGAAAGAACACTTGCCCAATTAGGCTTAAAGAAGCAAAAATGAGCACCAAACAGTGGAAATTATCTGAAAAAAGCTCAAATTTGAAGGAAAAAATAATAATTCTGAAAAGTAGCTAAAAAGCAGAAAGAACCTTAAATTACCAGAAGGAAGTGGAGAGAGCGCATTTTTGCTGAATTAGATTGAAAACAATTGAAATGAGTGCAAAAAATGTGGAATTAGCTGAAAAAGCTAAAATTAGCATTAAAAACAGCTAAATTCTAGCTGAAATAACAGAAAAAGGGGAAACTTGCAAAAAAAGCTGAAATGAGCAGAAATAAGTTATCAAAAGCACAAAAATGTTGTAGTTAGCAGAAAGAATCTGAAAGGAGCACAAAACAGCTGAAGAAATGCTGAAAGTAGCTGAAAAAATGTGTAAATTTACACAAGGACGCTGAAAGAAGCTGAACCAGAACAAAATGTGAAAGGATCAGTAAAAGGTTGTAAACACATCTAAAGATTTGAAAGATGTAAAATGATCTCAATTCATTTTGTATGAGGAAAAAAATGGAAGAAAAGGCTAAATATATCAAAAAGTTAAAGTTGCAACAATACCAAAATTCATGACACCCTTCTCCTGAACGTTTTGATTTATGATTTGTTGAAATAGCACAAAAATTGTGGAACAAGACTTGTGTCGAAAAAAGTACAAAAGAAAATTGTGTGAATGCTTCATAAACATTCACACAATAAAGAACTAAAACCCTCATAAGGACTGGGAAATATTGCACATTAGCGTGCAACCTTTTTCATTAAAACACTGTCTCTATTTAGAGATGTGGTTCCTAAAAATATTCTTGAGGAATTCGTGACATGTAAATACACAGAACTGTATGAAAGTTGAATATAAGTTGAATCTTGAGTGTAAATAGAAGTTGCAAATAGAAAAAAAATCAGCCTTTGTTTTTCAATGTGGGAGACTAATAATGTACTCAGCCAGCTGTCAGGTGTAGCATTATTTATAAATAGTTCAAGTTAAACACTGAAATTCTCCTTGATGTTGTACCTGGGCAGGTAGTTTGGGTCTAGAAAGTCCAGCGGGGGGTGGCAGTAGTTTGGGTTAAGACCGCGGTCTCGACTTTGTAACTGGTCTTGAGGTTGCCCTGATAACTCCAGAGTGAAGCTCTCGCCACCGTCTGAACCTTGAGGAAGATCGTTGGTGCTCAAAGAGAGTTCGTCGTCCTGAGCCTGAGTATCCTCATCATCACCACACGCCCTCGTCTAAAGAACCAAAGACTTCACAGTTTGCCCAACAGTAACAACATAAAGCCACAGATACTTGTAGACTAATATTATTTCTCACAGTTAGGCCGCTGTGATCCTCGGTGAGCGCTCCCTGGCCTGGCGTGGTGGCGTTAAGGGACTGAGGGTCAGCAGATGTGTCATAAGAAGTAGACAGAGAATCGGTGTGGTTGGTTTCCTCCGACGGGGAAAGGTTAGTCTGGAAAAACATGGAAAATGACAATTATTATGATTTTTTCAGGCTTCAGTGGATGCTGCTGTTTTAATCCAATGGTTAAGGCTACCCACTAGCTGAGAATGAGAGAGGCTCTGGCTGGTTGAGGACTCCTCTTCCTCAGAGGACTCGTCTGAATCATGAGGGTCCTCATGACCCAAACTGGGAGTGCTGCCTGAGTGCTGGCTCTCCTCCAGCAGGTCCCCCAGTTCTGTGCTGTCCAGGGATCGCCGACGGACTCCCCAGTTGAAGTTATCAATGCTCTCGCCCTGGATGAAATACACAAAGGTAATAAATACCTACTGCATGTACAAGTACAAAGTACAAAATAAAACCGTTAATTGTTGCATGGAAATTTGCTGGAAAGGCACTCAGTATTAAAATGTATCCCACAAGGACTTGACGAATAGCAACACTGTCAACCATGCTGTGAGAGCAAAATGAAGCTCAGTCATTATGTTTTAACTCCAGGATGAAATAAGGGTGCCCGCAACACCACAGCACCGAGAAAAGTTGATGACAGCAAGTGCTTAGTCTGGGACACCTTACCTGGAGCTCCTGGGCAGCGAGGGGGTGGGAAAGAGAAAGACACAGAGTTAGACAAAGAGACAAGGAGGGACAGAAATATGTCAGCTATATAAAGAACGACAAAAACAAACGATACGATTAAAACAGGAAGGAAAGAGACGGGCACTTTATTCACTTTGAATCCAAATAAACACAGAGCAACAGAAATGTCACCTCTCCGTCCTCCAGCTCCACATCCAGGAAGTCAAAGTCTCGGAAAACCCTGAACTGCTGCTCACTGGCGGTGTCATCGAACGTGTCCTCTCTGGTTCCACCCTCCTCTGATGAGACGCCGCTCTCCCGGACCTCCATCATATCCAAGTCGCCACAGGATGAGAAAATCACCTGAGAAGGAACAAGGCGTTTCAGAAACAACAGGAAAAGCTTTGAATCTTACATTTCTAAAGCCTTAAATCAAAAACAGTTCATGTATATACATATATACACACACACATATATATATATATATATATATAAACAGACATATATAAACATATAAATGTTCTTTTGGTCATTTTTGTGTGCTACAGACACTTATACAGCATTTGAGGCTTACAGATGGATTCTTTGTGAGTCCAACTTCTTGTCCACAAAGAGACAATACGTTTACCAGCTTCTCCCTGGTTCTTTTCTGTGCGGAACCAAGATGGCAATAATTAGAAATATTAACCAAAATACGTAGAAACAAATATTATGTATCTTAAAGTAGGCATAAGGTCAGACCAGCTCACCATTTATTACTATTTATACAATACTATGTAGTGGAAAAATACAATGCCCCCCAAAATGGAGTGCAGTCAAAAACAGATTTGTCAGGACATTAATTTATAATGTTTGACATTACCTGAGATAATTGAGGGCGCCTCCAGCTAACAGGCACCAGAATGGTGTTGGAATTTGACCCAGAGGAGGTGGAGGAAGCGCTTCGTGTGACAGCCATGGCTCTGGCCTTCCCCTCTCTGCCTCCTGAACCCTGGAGTCCATCAAATCGACGCCCAATAACAGGTGTCTGACAACCACAGGAAGACAGGCATATCAGTTTATGTGACAGTTTGATTAATATAAGATACATTTACTCTAAACAGTACTTGATCTCTGAAACAAAGAAAGCTGTGTGCTGTAAGAGGATATTTGGTATTTAATTGAGCTGAAGAGCAGCTTCTTCCTCACCTCAGAGATGTCAAAGGTGAAATCCAGGGTTTTCCCAGGCAGAGCTTTGGCTGAACCATCCCATACTCTGCTAACCTCCAAGTTGGAAAGGTCTCCTTGTGTGTGGCTGTACGCTGGATGTACTAAACTGGCCGAGCGTGATACAACCAACTTTAAGATGTTTAAAGCATCCTTCCAGTGTATGGTCTGTAAAACATACACATCAAACAGGGTAAGAAAATCTAAATAATAAAAACACAAAGAGACACTGAAGTACAAATTGTTGTTGCACACTTACATGGACAAACTTCTCAATCGTCTTCATGACGTCAGCATTGAACTGTTTGACTTGTACAGCCGTCAGGTCCATGTGGCTCAGCAGACAGTAGATGATCTGAAGGAGAGGCAGCTGCATATTGGGGATGCCTTTATCCAGCAGCTGAGGCATGAAAAAAAAACACACATTTAGAAACAAAATTACTGAAAAGGAGTGGCAGTAGTGTGTGTCTGACATATTTTATGCAAGACTGTGACTGGCCAGTTGTCCTTTAATAAGTGGTATATTATTGCAGAGCACAGGCTATGTTTTTTTTTTTTTTTTACCAAATATTCTACTTACAAAAAGTAACTTGTAGGTTAACATATCTTGGCAGGTCTCACCTCAGCCATATAAGTGACCATGTTGAGTGTAATGTCAGAAAAAGCTTCATGGAGGTAGCGACACACCACGCTGACCCAGGAGAAAGGGTCCCGTGTATACGAACGTGTCTTATAGAGAGTCATCACATGCGCCAGATGGGACAGCTTGGTGTTCTTCTCCTCCAAACACACCTGAGAGGAAAAGGGTTTTGTAAAGAAAAATATTACAGTGGTCCTGAGGTGGAAATGAACAACATTTGAAAAAATGGAATTACATTAAGCCAAAGTGGAAGTGGCCGAAGCGGGAGTGGCCAGAATTATAAAAAAAACCCGGAATCACATTTGGAAAAAACACAACAAAAGCAAAACAACATTTGAGAAAACAGAATTACATTAAGCCAAAGCTGAAGTGGTCGAAGCGTAAGAGGCCGAAGCTGAAATGGTCGAAGCGGAAGTGGCCAAAGCGGAAGTGGCCAAAGCGGAAGTGGCCAAAGTGGAAGTAGCCAGAATTACTTTTTTTTTAAAACACACACAACAAAAACAACAGAAGCACAACATTTGAAAAAACAGAATTACATTTGAAAAAAAAAAAAACAGAATTACATTTGAAAAAATGGAATTACATTAAGCCAAAGCGGAAGTGGCCAAAGCAGAAGTGGCAGGAATTATATTTGAAAAAACGGAATTGCATTTGAAAAAATGGAATTACATTTGAAAAAAACAGAATTACATTTGAAAAAACAGAATTACATTAAGCCAAAACGAAAGTGGCCGAAGTAGAAGTGATCGAAGTGGAAGTGGCCGAAGTGGTGACCAAAGCAGAAGTGGCCAAAGCGGAAGTGGCCAGAAGTACATTTGAAAAAACTGAATTACATTAAGCCAAACCATAAGTTTTTTTTTTTTTTTTTTTACTTTATTAACAACAGAACAATTAACAGTAACAAGATACAAATACAAACTCTTCGGAAGGATGTGGGGTCCGTGTACAATCCGTTCAGTTGGTTTTTAATTGAGAATCCAAAAAAAAAAAATATATATATATATGTTATTTCATATAACTCAGTTTTTTTCAAATGTTGTTGTGCTTTTGTTTTTTTAAATGTAATTTAGGTTTTTCAAAATTCTGTTTTTTCAAATGTTCATTTACAACTCAGGGCCACCATAAAAAATAGACTGAGCATGAGGGAAATGGGAAAGCTGCTGTGCTTTGGCCTGTCTTTCTTTTTCTGTGTTTTGTATTTCAGTGCCTTTTAAAAAAACCATCTTGGTTTTTCATTCTTCCTCAAACATGAAAAATGTGGATCTTCTATTTAACAAACTTGTTTCATGTCATAATCATCCAAAATGATACCCAAAGCAACAAAACAAACACACTCAAGTACAGCGGAGAAAAAACAAGTTAAAAACATCAATCTACCTGTGCGATCCTCTCAGCACTTTCCTTACAGAACTGTGTTGGATGGCTGAAGTTTTGCACCAAGTGAGGCAGCAGACACAAAACATTTAGAGGGAAACCTGCACAGCAAGAAAAGGTCTTAATTCAGTTTCATTCACGATAACTACAAGTTTAAAAATATTTAAGTAAATGACATCTACCTATGGACTGAGAGCTGTCCACAACAGTCACACGGGAAACCGGTGTGAGCTGGCAGAAGAGTTGTAAGGTCAGGTCAAAGGTCGTCTGCGAGGTAAAACCCTTTAACAGAAGCTGCTGAATGCCAGAGAAGCCGCTCCATCTCAGCTGAGCTTGAAGCTTCTCCAGTCGCGCTCGGTTCTCTGCTCTGTCCAAGGGCACCTGGGAAAAAAGTTGTTTTCATTGAACTAAGCTAAAGTGTGTTTTACATTCAGGAAAAATTAACATCTCAATTTTCTAATAAAAAATGCAAACCCCTGCATACACAACAGTTGCTGAGAAGTGCTTTAGCTTTAAGTAACATCTGCATTCTACTTGTTGCACTGTTAACTCTGCTATAACTTCTGTTTTAGGAGGTTTCCTCTTATCTACCTTTGACAGCAGTTTGTGAACAAGGCGAAGCGACATCTGATATTCAAACTCAAAGTCGGACTCCATGAGCGATACGGCCACCCAGAAGACCGTGGCCAGTATTGAGTAAGGATGGGAAACGTGCGAAGGATCTGACAACACGCTGGGATCGATACGGTTGGTGGATGACGTGCAGGACCCTGGGGTTCTCGCTATCCGGGTAAAGCTGTTGCCAGCCTGTCGATTGAAAAGCATTGCTTAATTAGAAATGTATACAGAATTATTAAAAACTCATGATTCCTAGTTTCTTGCCTGTATTCGATCCAGAGTTGCACTGCGTGGAGGGTCACTCAACAGGTTGCCGCACTCACCAAATTTCTTGGGGACAGAATAGGAGCGCTGGTGACGTTGTGACGACAGACCAGCAAACCCGGGGCCGGGAAAATTCAGCTGACCTGTGCTCTTTCTGTTCATCAGTTTGTCACTTGTCAAAAAGTCTGGTGAGGACGTCCTATCGATCAAACACAGGACACAGGTTAAATACTCTTACTGTGTTAAACCCTCCTATGAAATACTATTAAATTAATGAGCATAAAGGCTGGTTACAATGTCATATTAATCAACAGATTTATACTCTGTGATTTGAAAGAATTATGTTTTTATACAAGGCCATATTTCAAAAACAAAAAAAAACAGACACTTTAATTTACAGCATGTGTTAAAAATGCACAGTCCTACCTTGTAAGTGCAGCCATAAGGTCACTGTTTTTCATACACTCTGCTAGATTCACCACTACAGACTCAAGAGTCAGCAGCACCTCCATCACATAGCCCTGCAACCCACATGCATCAAATGATGTCTAATTAATTAATTGTCTAAATGTCTAATTAATTATGTGTCAAACACACTGAATGTTTTCAAACAAATAAGCTTTTATTCTGTCTCTCACCTGCACCTCATCTCCGTGTTCACCTACCACCTCAACCAGACGTGAGACCAGGTCAGAGACGGCGTGGTTGTTGATCGGCTGTTTGAGGGCCCTGAAGATCTGGAAAGAGCGTCCAGCGTAGTGGCGTGAGGAGCTGCACAGCGCGGTCTGTAGGGCCACGTCACTCAGCTGTTGCTCCAGGTGGAAATCTACACAAAAACGCAATTATTATTATTTTCCATGCTGCTGATCTCATGCTGCTGATTTATTTCATGCTGCTGTGTTGATTTGTATCCATCTACTCACACAGACTCATGTTCGTGCTGCTGTTGTTGTTCAGCGTATTGTTTTTGCACTAAGTGTTAAGCATATTTTTAAGTTAGCGTATTAGTTCATATCTTAGAACTTATTACCGTTTTCTTTTACAATTTATACTTCTGCTATTGTTGGATGTAACTGGGACCTTGAGTGCACAATTTCGTTCCACCTCATGTACCACATAGTGATGTGAATGACAATAAAGAACCTTGAACTTGAATTATACAAAGAAGCACTTAGGCAGATATACCTGTATTATTAATGGTGCCAATGCAAGAGCAGCATCAAAAAATTACTCTGTATCTTGTTCAGTTTTGAAAAATAAAGTAGGCAAAGTATAAACCAAAACGTGCAGCTTGATCAAGATTAGTCTGCTAAAAATTTGGCAGTGAAGCATTTTACAACATGGATGACTGGAGATCAATAGAGTGTTGAAGAAACTCATAATAAACAGCCCCAGTGTACCCCCAACACAGCGATAGAGCGATGGATGGATGGATGGATGGATGGATGGATGGATGGATGGATGGATGGATGGATGGATGGATGGATGGATGGATGGAT